AAAAAATTTTTAAAAAATAAAAGCTTCCTTTTATATAATCTTCATTATATTGGGTGAACTTGTCCTATCCAGGTGAGCCCTTTAAAAGGGCCTCTAGGCCCTCATGTAGTTTTGAAGGTAGAGAAATTCTACTGCTGGCCATAAAGAAGTAGCCATTTTGTGAACTGTGGAGGTGATTATGGTACAAAGATCTGAGAGAAGCCTGTAGGTGAGAATTGTCCCTAGCGGACAGCCAGAAAACAGCAGCTTTAGTCCTATAACCACCTGAAAAAGGACCTTGAGCCCTGGATGAGATCATAGCCAGGACCAACACCTTTACTACAGCCTGGAGAGATTCTAAGCAGTGAATCCGGCTCACTATACCCACGGCCCTGACCCAAAGATACTGGGAGACAACACATTTGTGTTGTTTGACACCAACACCGGTAAAGTTACAGTCGTCAGCTATGCAGAAATAAACTAACACAAAAAGCCAGACGATGGTTTCCCTTGGGGAAATCTCCCATTCATGACTGGGAATGAAATCTGGTGTAGCTTCTGGAATGCTGGTGATGTTCTGTTTCTTGATTTGGGTGTAGTGTAAGTGGATGTTGACTTTATAAAAATTCATCGAACTAGACACAACATATACAGTCCATAAGGTATGTTCCACCTCAATACAAAGTTTACATAAAAAGAAAAATGAAAACAGATGGACATAGACATTGGTATGTATTGTGTTATTTTGTATGTAAAGTAATTTTAGTGCATGTATGAATCAACTACACATAGGATGATTTACATTTATTCATAAGGGTGCCTAACATGGCTATATTTCTCTTCATCTGTTCCTGAGTCATTTCAGTCCTGTCCTAATTTTTCTCTTTTTTCAGTCCTGTCTCAATTTGTATTTCTTTTTCTCCCCAGAAAAAGGAATGAGGGAAAGTATGAGGGAAAAAGAAAAAAAAAAAAGAACTACAACTCAATTTTGGAATGGAATATTAACAGTTTTAAAATACACTGTGTTATTTTTGGTGAGTATAAATTAACGCTAATGCACTTCCATGTCTCTATTTCTCATTTTTAAAAGTTGACTTCAATTTGTTCTTTCCAAACAGTATCTTCTTGTGAGCTTTTCTTTGATTATGTTAACTCTTTAAACACGTCAAACATTCCACAATCTGAACGTAACAATTCCACTGTTTATATTCCTTAGGTGTCCAATTCTATTAATTTTTCCTTCTGTTCTCATTGATTGTAGCTTCTCCATGATCAACAGTTTAGATCATTTTAGTTTTTTCACGTTAATGTTGCTGCCTCATATAGATATGAATTAAATCCTACAGCAGAGGGTAGCACAGACCCAGGGTCTGATTTCTCATAGATTATTACTGTTTTTCTTTTCATTCAAGGTACTAAGTTTTTTTTGTTGCTTCCCTTGGGCCAAATGATGCGGTTTTACAGGTCCTCTTTTTTCCTGTATTTAACAGCTCTTTTTTAACACAAAAACAGCTGGATTTGCAACTCTCCTCCTGAAGGCTCAGGGCCATGGTTCTTACTGACCACCAGGACGTAAGCATCCACTTTTCACACTAGTATTGCTTTTTCTTGTTTGTAGAAATGCAGGTATTTCCCTGTCTTTAATTATTGTATTAGTCTCCTAGTCACCATGACCCTAGGAGAAATGTATTTTCTCACAGTTCTGGAGCCTGGAAGTCCCAGAGCAAAGCACCGGCAGGTTGGGTTTCTTCCGCAGTCTTTCTCCTCGGCTTGCAGACAGCTACCTTCTCACTGCATCTTGTAGGGTTTTATTCTGTGTCCAAGCACCAACCACCGCCCGCCCCGGTGTCTCCATGTCCCTACCGGCCCCCACCCCCCGCCCTGGTGTCTCCATGTCCGGATTTCCTCTTCTTGTAGGAACCCCAGCCAGACTGGATCAGGGCCCATCCTAACAGCCTCATTTAACCGTAATCACCTCTTTAAGGCCCCGTCTCCAAACACAGTCACATTCTGAAGTACTGGGGCCTAGAATGTCAACATATGAATTTTGGGGAGACACAATTTACTCCATAACAACTATACAAGTGAGGTTTTGGAGTTTTTGAAGTTATTTCTGTGTTTCTAATTTAAGCTGACAGAAGTCCTCTATGCTAATTTTAAAGTGTTTCAAACATTATCTGAAAATATTCAAGACCCCACTCCCCAAGCTCACAATAAAGTTCTAAGCTTTTCATAACCTTTTTTTTTTTCCCCTGGGATACAAGAGATTGGCTGTAAAATTTCAGATGGCACTATTTCTGGGAAGGAGAATAGATTTTCAGATATTAGATTTAAGTAAATACTAATTTTGGCATCTTTGCTGCTTTCAGCACAAGCAAATGGAAAGAAAGCATCTGGGAATCTGACCTGTGTCTAAGTGCTGCCATACTGGCCTGACCCTTCACTACTGAGCTTCTTTGAACAAGTTATTTAATCTTTCTGAACATCAAAGGTAATTTCACTCCTTCTGTGGATTGTCCTAAGGATTAAATAAGAATGCTATTTAAAACAGTAGTTCTAAAATTTGGTGGGCTACCTTAAGTAACAGGGGGAAGCACATTTTATTTTATTTTTTATTTATTTAAAAAAAAATTTTTTTTTTCAACGTTTATTTTTATTTTTGGGACAGAGAGAGACAGAGCATGAACGGGGGAGGGGCAGAGAGAGAGGGAGACACAGAATCGGAAACAGGCTCCAGGCTCTGAGCCATCAGCCCAGAGCCTGACGCGGGGCTCGAACTCACGGACCGTGAGATCGTGACCTGGCTGAAGTCGGACGCTTAACCGACTGCGCCACCCAGGCGCCCCGGGAAGCACATTTTAAACGGTACAGGTTTTGGGTCTGCTCAGCAGAGGGTTCCACAGGTCTGTGGTGGGGTTCAGGAATTTATAATCTTAAAAAGCTTCTCCAAGTGACGCTAAACATAGCCGAATTAAAAATTAATTCTAGATTCTGCTCACTCAGATCCTATAGTCCTGTTCTTTGATTTTGATAAATATTATTTTAAATGGTATAGAAATTATGGAAGAAGAGGTTCCTAAACTTAGTAAAGGTAATTTGACATTTCCTAAAAGATGCATGTCAGTTTTTAAATTTTGTTTTCATGTTTTTATTTATTTTTGAGAGGCAGAGCCTGAGCAGGGGAGGGGCAGAGAGAGAGAGAGAGAGAGAGAGAGAGAGAGAGAGAGACAGAATCCGAAGCAGGCTCCAGGCTCTGAGCTGTCAACAAAGCAGAGTATATCTCGGACGGCTCGACACACACAGGTCAGAGATTTGGCTACATGACCTGAGGCCGAAGTCGGCTGCCATTCGAGCCACCCAGGCACCCCTTTGTCAGCTTTTAAAAGTGTGATTAACCTAAGAGTTGTGAGTTTGTTTATATACAACTCTCCTTGATCTAAGAAAAAATGTATAGCAGTTTGCAAGATATATGCAAGAAGAAGATAGAAGTATATGACAAAAGCATAAAAGGTAGGAAAAATCTGACCAGTGAGAAACATGGAGGCTGGAGGCATTCTAAATAATAGAAATAGAATGGAGACAATGAGCAAGTGAAAGTAAATTAAAAAAATTTTTAATAATGAAAACCTTCTTAAAATTATACAAGTAACTGGGGTTGTGCAAATAACCCATAAAAGAGTGAAAGTCCCTCTGTTCCTTCCTGCCATTTCCCTTCTGAGACTTCTTTTTTTTTTTAAAGAGCATGTGAGCAGGGGGGAAGGGTAGAGGGAGGCAAGAGAATCTCAAGCAGGCTCCAGGCTCAGCACAGAACTCAACATGGGGCTCAACCCCATGACGCTGGGATCATGACCTGAGCCAAAATCAAGAACCAGACTCTCAACCAGCTGAGCCACCCAGGCTCCCCATGAGACTTACTTATATAGACATATAGACATGCCCTCTCTGTTGGTTTTTTAAAATTATACATACAGGATAATCCTGTTTTGTAATTTGCTCTTTTTCACTTGATGGTACATTATGAACCCCTTCACGTTCAGTGCACACAAACCTAACTCATGTTTAGTGGCTGGATAGGTGACTCCCATTCAGGTTTTATATGTAAAATACACATAATAGATCTCGGATACGCATTTACTTGCACTTATGCAAAAATTTCCATAGACTTGATACCTGGGTAAAAGGGAATGCTATATCCTTCTACCTTCTTCTATATAACCTGACAATTCTATACTTGTCAACCAAGAAATGACTTCAGTTTCACAACATGCTGAATATATTCCGCTTCTCTCTCTCCATATATTCATACATACATTCAACATCATCAATATTATCAATATACGCACATTCAGCACAATACACGGCACTTGGTGAACTTCAGGACTGAGAGGGCTTCTCGGCCTGCTTGCCTGGAAAGTGCCACAGTCCCTTGTAGACCCTTTGTTGTCATTGTTTTCAAAATTTCTTCTAAAATGAAAATTAAAACAAAAGGTAAAATCCAATTAAAACCATCTGGTGAAGACGGTATGATCACTAAACAGTTTAATAAGATGATAAAGACAGACAATGATTTACAAGTTCTACTCATCTGCGAAAACAATGTATTCCAAGTAAATTTCTATTAAAATGGACTTGAGTCAGATGGGAGCACTCTGTATTTTCAAGGTGTCGCTGAGAGTCTCAATCAGACTGAAAGGCCCTGCCCTGCTGTGGAAGCTACTCCGAACTCAACAGAAATATGAACTACACTTGTCATTACAGCAAGTGATTTGTTCAGCTGCTTGGCTCCAATCTTGGCCTCACACGCTTCCTCTGGGATGAAAAAAGTCAGTGAAGGTGGGCAAATGTATAGTGACAGTACACAGTGGAAGGAAGTAGCTTATCTCTTTTGGGCACATTGAAAAAAGCAACATCTTCCCTTTTGTAAATAAATAATACTAAAGACTGAGTTAAGAAAATGGAGCTACAAACAAACTGAAACAAAACTTAGTCATCAGGATGTGATTTAAGGGGCTGAGAACATAAGGTAAAGATAAAAATCAAACTTGTGTACAGAAAGAGAAGAAGGACTCAGGTCAGTTTACTTACACAGTAATCTAACCAAGATCTCAACATCCATACCATGAGATAGCTTTCATGATGGAACTTCACCTGAACTGAACATTACGTAGCACAACTTGTCAAGGGCATGAAGATTACAAGGGGGAGACAAAATTCAAAATATTCAGGATGAGGTGTTAAAAGAAGAAATTACAGATTTTGTGTCTGAATATTAATTTATTAATTGGGGGGAAAATGGCGCCCCCCCCTTAAAAAAAAACAGTACTTTCTAAAACCAAGAAAAACTGTCTTAAAAATCTCTCTCTTCTTTCAAGATGAATGTTATGTTTGTATGAGCTGTTGTCAGTGATTATATTGACAATATTTCAGGCTACTTTATAAATTATACTCTTTAACATGATTAAATTACAATTTCAGCAAAGTCAGTGGTTAAAAGATAAACTGATCTGTATTACCTGGATTATTTTCTTTAATGGTAACTAAATAGAATAATCCTCTTGGTGACAGAAGATCTGCAGCCACTGGGAAGAACCTGTCCATGACTTCTCGACCATTTCTGCCACCGGCCCAAGCAGCCTCTACTCCGTGACTTCCCACCTGTGACCATTTAAAAAAGACTTCTGTATCTATTCATTTAGAATCATTTAGAATCACAAACAGTTACATTTAGAATCACAAACAGAATCTTTTTGACAAGGAACATTTACCAAACAAGTACTGTATACACTTTGTATTTTACTGCTGTCCAGGAGGCAGTAAAGTTGAGTCTGAGCCCCACCATTTCCTAGCCATGTGATCTTATGTGAATCTGTAATTTTTATGAGTTTCCTCCCTTATCTATAAAACCAGGAAAACAATAGTTTCAACAGTAAAATTATAAAAATTATTTTTTTCCATTTTTAGGAATAACTGAAGAAATATATTTAAAGTTTGAAAACAGGGCCCTGTACATATCAAGTGCTTAAGCTGTTACTATTTCTGCAATGCTTATGTTGATAGACATAGGTAATTCTTGTACTTAACATAGAACAATCAGGAAGAAACTAAAAGAGAGATCCTATATTATAAAATATCTACTTTGCAGGAAGTTAGTTTCAAAATGCCCCCCTGCATCTGGCTCTTTTCTAGATTAAAGTATGAATTGTATAGACCTTTTTTAAGGAATCCATTTAATATATAAAGGCTCACCAAAGCATTTTCTTCCTGTAACAATCTAATTCTACTGTAGAAGCAAAACCTGTGAGAGTTCATACAGTATTAAAAATCTTTAGATTATTATTGTATATGGTTTCAAAACTAAAGAATTCAAAAAATATTTTAACCCTAACAATTATTTTCTTTCCATATCTATAGTTTAAATTAATTGTATAAATCATGCCTGTTGCTTTTATTCATATAAAATGGCATGTTTCTCCATTAAAATAAATTTCCTTATGCCTGTAACTATATACATATATTATTTTGTAAATAAGGGAAATATGTTCATATACCTGCCTTAGAAAGAACTGCACTTTCCCCTTTTACTGTTTTGCTGGTCTGTTCCTCCCTCATCTTATATACACATGTTTTTCCTTTTTGTCCATGTTTTACAAAGACAGGATTATGTTCTACATTCTTGCACCATATCTTGCTTTTGTCAATCATCAACACTTTATGGAGAGCTCTTCATGTGATCAGGTATGGTTCTAATTTACTCTTTTAAAGGCTGTCTACGATTTTATAATGGAAAAGTTACCATATCTTAATGTAGCTATTGATGGGCAGCCAAAGTGTTCATTTACTTACTTTTTTTTGTATCTAATTTAAATTATTCCCATATCTACCGTACACTTCTCAATACAATTTCCACAAAGTTAATCATATTGGGAAATTTATCAGTTCCTTCCTCCTGGAGATGTCCCCTTCCTGGCATTCCTAGAATCACCTCTTTTTCTGGGGCTCGTGTGTTCCTCTTCCTTGGTTTACCCCCTTATTTTGGTGGAGCCCATTCCCTGGACGTTTTATCAGGTAAAGTGGTCTGTGGACAGATTGCATGGTGAATGACAGGTTGTGCCAAGCCTGTCTCCTGTCATTCTCTTCCAGAATGGACCAGGATCTCTCTGTGCTAGACCCTGTTCATACGCCTCCCCAGGGATGCTCAGCCAGGTGTATCTGCTTGCATTAGAAATGCTCCTACAGGAAGGTCTCCTGGCACCAGGCACATTCTTAAGGCCACAAAGGGAGGGTTTCCACCTTTACAAGGAGGAGTCATGTTTGGTGGTCTGCTGTTTGCCTGCTACATGAGCCTTGCCAGACCTGCTCCTGTTCCTTCAGAGCTCACAGGTACAAGCCAGAGGTTCCTAACCTCGTGTCTCTAGATATACTATTAAGCATAGCCAAAATTTTTTATAGACACAAACTTAACTATTATTTTTATATCTCCTGGATCTAACCTCTAAGTCTCTTATCTTTTACTTTCATGATTTCCTTCTTTTTATCTTCATGCTCTATGCACTTAAATCTTTCATCTGGTTTCCAGAACACTAATTCAGGTCTTCACGGAGACCATATTCTCTTTTAATTCCTTTCCTAAGGTTTTATTTTGTAAAATATGTTTTTAGGCTCCAGGAGATCTTCATTGTGCTGCACTGTGATTCTGCTCCCCAGCTAATAGCTCAGCTCATGGGAATTATGACACTAGCTCTCTCTGTTGGGACTGCAAAATAGCCCAAGGTGCTGTCTACACTCAATTATCTGTATGTCCCAGCAGCTGTAAGGCTCAGGAGAAGCAAGTACGTAGCTCAGTCATGGGAATGTGGAAGAAAGGAAGCCTGTTTGCATCCCCATGTTTCCAGAATCTCCTCTGCATTCACAGTCCTGCCAGAAATTTGTAGACCATGATTTAGTTAAGCTAGCCTTAGTCCAATACTAAACTTTGTCTGCCTTGACCATTCTCTCTTTAAATTGGGAAATGGTTGATTTACCTCTTCATTATTGAAGATTTTCCAAATCATCTGTTCCAAGATGATTTCTTTTCCCTACCTGAAATAAGAATCCTCCCCCACCACCTGTGAAAGGAGGAAAACTGAGACTTTCAGAAATAATTACTATATGAATTTAAGGATGATTAGAAATGCTCTTTTGCAAATTTGCCATTTGTGATAAAAGACACACATGAGCAAATTTAAACACACGGCCTGATTTCAATGGGAATTTTAAGGATGAATATGGGTCACTATATTTCATTAGTTTTAGACTCCTTTCCTACGTCTCCCGACATACTCAATTATTGGCAATTGTGATTAATATCAGAGCAGTCTGTGTTAATCAGCAGTTGACTAATGTCATAATGAAGTTCATTTGATTTTATAAAGAAAATAGCTGAAAACATTAATAATTAAATTTTGTTCCACGTCTTACCTCTTCAGGTGGAGTCACTACATAGGGGGGATTAAACACCAGAAGATCAACTTTTTCCTTCAATCTTGGTAGCAAGCCTTTGACCTAAATGTTCAATAGTCAGAATGTTAAGCTGGACTCGGAATTAAAACAGATAAATAAATATATCTTTAAAAATACTCTCCTCCCATGTAGAGAAAAATGTGTGAGAGGGCCAAAAATGTAGACAGAGATAGAGATAAATATTTTTACATTTTCATTCATGCATATAAAGATTATATGCATTTACCTAAAAATATGAAATTAAACTATTTATCAGAATGAACAGAAAATGTTCAAGAAAGCCTGTTTTTCAACAGCTAATGCTTACACACTGGGTTCACTTTTAGAAGATTAAATAAGAAAGCGAGCACTCCTATGTTCTACATAGATATGCACACACTTTAAGGCTATAGCTGTAACTTAAACATTTTCTATCATCGAGGTATAACGTATTATACATACATATATATATATATATATATATATATATATTTACTTTCTACTTCTTTAATGACTCATAAATGTATTGGCTGGAACAATTAGAGACCAAAGAAAGGACTGAAAAGAGTGGAAGAGACACTGAAAACATTAATTGTTTGGCATTTTGTAAATCTTTAAACTGGGTTCCAATTTTCTGTGAAACCGCAATAAAAATGTCTTTTTTTTTTTTTTTTTTTAATAAAAATGTCTTTTTAGGGTATTTTTCAGGGTAAGATGTGATTTAAAGTCTTCTTCCTTTGACTCCTCTGATGATTGAATTAAGTAAGTATTTAAAAAAAATCGTGTCTGGTCATGTCACCCTGCACCTTCACAGGCACAGTAAAGTGAAAACATGGTATCTGGGTGGGTTCTCACCTCTAAAGCCATTTCCTTCAATTATCACTTTGTACAGACTCTCACCCATGACTTCTGAGGTTGTTTCTTGAGATGGAATAGCTGAGGTACTTCACGGCAGTGTCCAAAGTGTTAGCTCTCTTATTAACATTCTTGCAATTTCCCCATTTATGCACACGCACTTACCATTTTTTACTATTTTTCTTTAAATGGGCTTTTTTTTGTTGTTAAATAAATTTGCTGTAAAGGGAAATCACTATTACTTTCTGGAAATAGAAATGACTACAAGGATAAATGAGATAAGAATTAAAAAAAATAGTTACAGTTAATCATTACTGTTGCCAGGCTGAGAGTGACCCAAGCCATCTGTCTCTATTAGAGAGACATCTGTAAGTGTTTAAAAGGTGTTAAATAACAACAACAAACTGAGACCTTCTCCTGGATGTAATCACAATGGCTGAAAGAGAATTAAAGAGGAAACAGCTTTGACATTATATGATTCAAAGTTATTTAAAACTCAGCCATACCTTCTAATGTTGGGCACATCACTGGCCTATTATTTACATACATTATGAAACACTGCCTTAGAGCTTCCATTTTACCCTGTTTCTAAAAGAAATACTACTTTTATCATTTTTAAGCCTGTTAACTATGTAGTTCAAAGAGAATACTGGAACACTGGCTTTGAGGAGATGTTGTAAGGTAACTTTTTTTTCTCTATTCTTTTCAAAAGAGAAAAGTGCCATTTTTGAGGAAAGTAATGAAGATGCATCCTTGTCTGCAAGTAGAAGATGACTAAGGTTAATCTGCTGTTCCCTTTAGGAGCAACACTGGAGAGTGAGGAAATACAGCTGAAACAGCCGAGAGCTTTATTTTCAATTCCATAAAGAAATTAAGCTTCTCACATTGTAAAAAGAAGTCCGGAAGGTAATTTTCCAGAAATGTTCAGTAAGGAAACTAGAAAAGAATTTGCTTTGCAATTGTTTACAATGGCCCTGAGGTACTATATACTAATAATCATTGCAGTACTGGATTTTAAATAAAGGAAAAAACTGATGGATTTAAATAAAGGAAACAACATGGAAAATAATGTAGTTTAAAAGAAAATGGATTTAAATGAGAAAATTACTGATGTAAAGTCTAATCACAGGCATCCCTCACCCACTCATATTCAGCTTTTGTGTGGTCTCAGAGCATTAGAACAGATCCAAGAACTGGGAAGTAAGCAAAGAGGCCTCTGACAAGAAGTTTTAAATCCGTATAGCAAAACATGTGCTATTTATTCATGAGAGGTACTTGTTCAGAGCCCCTGAACTCTTAGTTTAAATACAAGTCTAACTAAATCACTTGTTTGGTATTCTAGCACAGAGCACATGAAGAGAGAGAGGAAATGCCACTAACAGGTAGCAGTAAAATAAGACAGCATAAAGCAGGTAAAAGGAGAAGATGAGGAGGAGAGGAAATAAGAACTCAAATCTCTGCAGGCTATAGCCCCTCAGCGTGAAGGCAGAAACACCTGAATAAGCCTCTTTATCACAGCACAGGATGATAAATGATGTGCATAATAACGGCCCTGAGTCAGTAAAAGGTAGTTATGTTTAGTTTGTTTTAGGAATGTAAGGAGAGGCATACGATGTATTTGAAAAAGTCTTTCTTCTAAAACTAAAAAAAGAAACAAAGCAAAAGTACTACTTTGTAAACAGGTAAGCTTAGTTACCCAAAACAATGATTTTATTGTGATAATCTATGCCTAGTGTTCTGAATATAAACAAACGTAGAGTTTTGTATATTGATCATAATACCTATGTTCATGCTCACCTCTTCTTTCTTTGCCACACGTCAGCATGAAGAGCTGACTCCGGCATGGGCTACCACGAGCCATGTCCTGAAAGTTGTGAGACACCTACATTTAGATTCCCAAGATCTGAATTTAAATTCTGGATTTATCGGGGTGCCTGGGTGGCTCAGTCGGTTGAGCGTCCAACTTCAGCTCAGGTCATGATCTCGCGGTCTGTGAGTTCGAGCCCGGCATCAGTCTCTGTGCTGACGGCCCAGAGCCTGGAGCCTGCTTCGGATTTTGTGTCTCCCTCTCTCTCTGCTCTTCCCCGACTCATGCTCTCTCTCTCTCAAAAATAAATAAAGCTTAAAAAAAAAACACTTTTGGAGCACCTGGGTGGCTCAGTCGGTTAAGCGTCTGACTTTGGCTCAGGTCATGATCTCACAGTCCGTGAGTTCAAGCCCCGCGTCGGGCTCTGTGCTGACAGCTCAAAGCCTGGAGCCTGCTTCAGATTCTGTGTCTCCCTCTCTCTCTGACCCTCCCCCATTCATGCTCTGTCTCTCTCTGTCTCAAAAATAAATAAAACATTAAAAAAATTTTAAAAAAATAAATAAAAATTTTAAAAAACACTTTTTTTAAAATTCTGGATTTATCACTTTATTAGTTATGTGACTTTAAAAAATGAATCTCACCTCAGTTTCTACCTCTGTTTAAAAAAAAAGATATTCTGAATTTCTTGTATCTCTAAAGTTTTATTATTATATCAAAAACATATTTAATACTAATTATGGACACATTAAAGAAACAAGTTAAAATTTTAAAGGGCAAAACCACCTCAGTGATCCCATGCAAATCACTGTGCCTAAACCAGTCGTCTCCATATTTCAATCCTTCTTGGCCATAGTGAGAGATTGAGAGATGGCATATGACCCAAGTTGATCCAAGCAATACTCATTCTGGGGCTTTTGTCAGACTAACTGAATAGAAAGAGCTTCTTACCATGAGGGGGTTGGGGGTGGGTGGTGGTGAAGAAGCTGTTTGCTGAGGAATAAGATACAGACACACAAGTATCCTGTTACCATGAAATTAAAGACTACCTAGAAATAGAACCAATAGAGAGAGAAGGTCAGAGCTAAGAAAAAGATGCCTGTCTTATCATTTGAGTTCCTGGAGCCAGCTGTGCCTGAAGCCACCCACTCTTTTTACTTAAGTTTGTACTGGATTCTCTGTCACTACTATCCAAAAGATGACTGATCCATACAAACCACTAGAAATTACCTTTGAACTGTGGACAAGATGGACTGCATCAATCAAGAATTTACTTTGAAAATGATGGGGTATACTATTTAGTGGATTAGAAGTTAATTATGACTCAAGCTTCTTTGACCTAAATCATCTTAACATTATTTGAAAAGGAAATGAACTATTATTAGACAAGGATTAACAGCTTACCAAGTCTGTAATCACTGGCTGAATGTGGACTTTGTTACAGTGTGCTGTCTCCAGAGTACAAGCTGCTGCCTCAGGGTTGATATCAGTGCACCTATAAACAGAAAAGAAAGAAAACTGTATCTTACATCCCGGAGGTACATCTATTACTGAAAAATTTAAAAATGTTCCACTGCTTTTACATAAAGCAAATTTAGAAAAAAATGAAAATTATTTAATAATGGTGAATGAAAAGAACAAAGACTTGTCATATTAATGAAAAAGACTGTTATATTGACATAAATGTGCAAGAGTAGAAAAATATACATGCATACACATCTGAAGGAATTTATTAAGTTATGAATCCAGGAGCGTCTGTGTGGCTCAGTTGGTTAAGTGTCTGATTCTTTTTTTTTTTTTTTTAATGTTTTATTTATTCTTGAGGGAGAGAGAGACAGAGCATGAGCGGGGATGGGGCACAGAGAGAGGGAGACACAGAATCTGAAGCAGGCTCCAGGCTCTGAGCTGTCAGCACAGAGCCCGACGCGGGGCTCGAACCCACGAACTGTGAGATCATGACCTGAGCCGAAGTCGGATGCTCAGCCAACTGAGCCACCCAGGCGCCCCAAGTGTCTGATTCTTGATACTGGTTCAGGTCATGATCTCATAGTTCGTGAGTTCAAGCCCTATGTCAGGCTCTGCACTGGTAGTGTGGATCCTACTTGAGATTCTCTGTCTCTCTCTCTCTCTCTGCCCCTTCCCTGCTCTTTCTCTCTCTCAAAGTAAGTAAATAAATTTTAATAAATAAAACATCGAGATTGACGATGTAAAAATAAATTACGAATCCAATGAATACTATGCAGCCACCAAAAATGAAATATTTCTTAAGATTAAAAAAAAGTTTATCTATTTGAGAGAGCGTGAGAGAGAGAGAGAGAGAGAGAGAGAGAGAGAGAGAGAGAAAGAAGACAGCAGAGGGGCAGAGAGAGAGGGAGAGAGGGGATCCCAAGCAGGCTCCAGGTTTAACCTGACTTGGGGCTTGATCCCATGACCGTGAGAGCAGGACCTGAGCTGAAATCAAGAGATGGATGTTCAATCAACTGAGTCACCCAGGTACCCCCCACAAAATGAAATTTAAAAGGAATTTTTGAAAAACATTCATGATACAATATTAAATGAAAAACAGAGAAAATGAGGAAAAAAGAAGGAAACACATTTGGACCATGATAAAATTTTGAAGTAATTTTTATTTTCTTCTTTATAGTTTCCATACTCTCAAATTTTCTTTAAAAATTTAAGTAGCTTTCATTTTTTTCCAGTAATCAGACTGTTTACCTAAAAAACAAATTCAAATTTAGAAATGACCTAAAATTGTTTTGTTGCTTCTATAATTATGTAGCATGATGGAACAGTTTTGAACATGCAGTTATAATTTTTAGGGAAGAATAATTTACAATGAGTCCTTACTACACTTAAATAGACCCTTTCAGATATATATTATTTATTTACAAAAATGATTCCATTCAAGTAGTCACACCCCTAGTGAATTTCTTAGCGGAGGATGTGGATAAATTTGATATACTTACACTTACATGTACAAGGCCTGAGGACCTATCATAGAGGCTAGGAATGCAGATACCACTCCAGACCCTGACCCTACTTCAAGGCATATTTCCACTCTAAAAAAAGCAAAATAAAATAAATATTAGTGTAGTAAGATTAAAATACACATTACAGGAAATTACTCTCATCCTACTTTTAATGTATATTTCTCCAGCATCATCAGTTGTCTGCAAATATATGGAAATATAAAAAAAAAAGATAAACATGCTAATTTCTGACAACTGTTTTCTGCATATTTAGTACTATTTAACTCAAAATTGGGGTGTGTAATTTGAGTTCATAACATAGATGGCTTTCAATTAATTTCTACAAAACATTACACAAAAACTGTGGAATAAAACTGAGGATTGAAAATATTAACATGAAAGACATCAGCCCTTCCCACAAGGAGCTTCTGGTTTAGTATTTCCTAAAATGACAGGGTCAGTGTTATTACAATATTTATTTATGAAAGAGGTTTTCTCTATAATTTAAAAGTACCTAACATTCATAAATTGATCAGCATATCCTAGGGAAAAAAAAGTTCCCCCTTTCTAACAGATTTAGAGCAGCAAAGAAATTCCATATTTGCACAGCTGTATGCTGAACCGGGAAAATACCAGAGTATCTGGTTTTAGAATATTAACAATAATCTTTAAAATGCTTTTGAATAAATTGTTATATTTTATCCTTCAATTGAATTTATTTCCCTATGATCTTATATATGCATCAAAAGCACCAATTATCTCCATCACAGAAATGGGTTTGATTAGACTTAGGGAGCCTTTCTAGCACCTAACTCCTCAAGTATCCAACAAAAAATGCTAGCTGCTTCTAACTTTTGGAACCGTCCACATCATCTGACAAACCTTTATTATTCTGTGGGAAGGTCTGTTGAATCTTACCAGGCGGCTTTTATTTGAAAATAACTATCATGGTTTCATAAACAATTAGAATTCCGAGACCAGAAGTAATCCCACTTTATAACAAAATCAACTTCTTTCACAGCATACTTTGCAATGCAATTTGTGCTTGTAAATCTTTCTGGGATATCTTGAGACTAAAAGACAAGTTATAAAAACAGTACTTTTCCGTTCTATATTCCAGTAAATCCAAAAGTTCCATCGTTTACAATGAAAAGCTAGTTTTATTAATAAGAGTTGGGACATTTTATATCTGACCAGATTTAAGACAGATAAATAAACACAATATAAATCTTTAAAGCCTAACAGCTGTTTCATCTTGAGAAAACCAATTTCAAGTCTTGATCTTTACATAAATCTAATTACTCAAATACCTTTCATTTAAAAAATTACACGGGGCGCCTGGGTGGTATCAATTCGATTCAAAGTCGACTTCATCCGGGTCGCGATCTCGCCGGTCGATGGGTTCGAGGCAGCGATCGAACCTGGGCTGATGGCTCAGAACCTGGAGCCTGTTTCGATTCTGTATTCGCTCCCTCTCTCTCTGCCCCTCCCCCGTTCATGCTCTGTCTCTCTCTGTCCCACAAATAAATAAAAACGTTGGAAAAAAAAATTTTTTTTAAAAAAAATTACAATATAGGTATTCATTTTCTAATGTTATTTAAAATTTATTGGGGCACTGCAACAAGTCAATTTTAATATTTATAAAGTGCTCTAGGAAAAATTCTATAGGCTGCTAGCTATGTAGCTATTTACATTTCTAACAATTAAATGAAAAATTAAGTTCTGCCGGTCGCATATACATTCAGGTGTTCGGTGTACACGTGGCTGGCAGACGCTTCTTACAGAGCATGCTCTTCAATGCGTTTAGAAATACTTCCCCAAGCCAGTATCTCACTTCATTTCATTTTTGTGCTCTTCCATTGCTCGAGGGTGCTTCTGTGTATTGAGTAGATTAAGTGCCGCACGACTTTTAACATTTACTAAAAAATGCAATATTAAGCAATGTTGGTTTTTGGACGTGTTATAATATCGCTGCGCTCGGGGGCTTTGTGTTCTGCATAGTAACAGCTGGAAGGAAAAGATCCATCCTACCGTGGTAGGGAGCTATGGAGCTCCTGAGACCAAAACAAATGGCAAAAGTAGACAGATCCCTGGCACGCTCATTACATGTATCTACAGGCAAATCCTTAATAACGGCGTTCTGGTCTCAGTGTTCGCCAAGTGGGCTGACACTGTCTCCTCTCCCGGCAGACGTGGTCCTTTTCGCCAGACCTCCTTCGCCACCCTCCCAGGACATGACCTCTCCCTGGGACGCTCACGCCCTCCGCACCCCATGAATGACCCGCTGCCGCCTCGAGCGCGTCCAGCAGCAGGAACGTATCCTCCGCCGGCTCGTACACATTGCTGAAGGCGCCCCGGCCCACATGTCCGTGCAGCGGCGTCGGGAGACCCGGCGCCGCCATCTCGCTTCTCTCTCCGTCCCACGCGCATGCGCCAAAATTGCGCGTGCGCAAGCTCGGCGGGGGGGGGGGGGGGGGGCTTCGGAGGCGGAGAGGCAAATCGGGGCTTCTTTCTAGCAGTCTCTGTAAATGCTTTTGGATTTTGTAAGTGAACAGTTACATAATCTGCAACTGCTGATATTTGCTTTCTTATTTCGAGTATTTAAATTTGTTTCATTTTATGGATTAGCAGTTGATGCAGGGCATCCTCGATTGTTTTTGACTAAGGGGGGTGGTTTTTTTCTTTTTTCTACATTTGAAAGTTTTCTTCTGTTCTTGTTTGCAAAGAATTAAAAAAAGACATAATGGTTACTAAATTTTACCTTTGTTACATCAACTGAACACTTAAGCTTTTTTTCTCATTTAATTTTTTTACTGTTGTATATTATAAAAATGACCTTCCTGATGTTAAATCATACATGCACTCTTTTTATAAACCTCACTGAGGCAAGATGATTTTTCTTTTAATACCCTGCTGAATTTGGAATGCTTATAATCTAGCTCTGTTTTGATTATGCTATCCTCACGGGATGAGTTAGGACATTGTTTCTGGAACATTTGGTAGAACTCATCCATAAAATTGGCTGGGCTTAGTGTTTTTATTAGTGGGTGGTTCTCTGATGTTTTGGATCATCTTCTATAGGTTATTAGACTATTCAGGCATTTACATTCTTTTTGAGTCAATTTTTGAAATTTCCCAATGAAACATTTTTACATCTGGTTTTTAAAATTTGCGTAATAAATATACAGAAAAATATAGTTTACATTTTTAAAAACCCTAAGTACCTACCACCTGGAATTTACAATTAATAGTACTTTTTCATGTTTCCTTAAAAGTTTTTATTTTACCTTTTTAAGTACATATTATATCATACTATATGTTATTATTTAATATGTGTGTTAAATATAATATTTATTATAGGGAATTAGCTCACACGGTTATGGAGACTGGCAAATCAAAATCTGCAGAGCCGATTTCCCATCCTTAAAAGAGTTTTTAAGAGTGTTACTGTTTTTGTTTTTGTTTTTTTTAATGTTTATTTATTTTTGAGAGAGAGAGTGTGATACGGAGATGGGCAGAGAGAAGAAGACAGAATCCCAATTGGGCTCCACGCTGACTAGGGAGCCTGACGTGGGGCTCGAACTCAGGAACTGTGAGCTCATGACCTGAGCCGAAGTCCGACGCTTAACTGACTGAGCCACCTAGGCGCCCCAAAAGAGTTTTTAAATATAAGAACTAAAATATTACAGCTGAAGTGGATGTTCGCCTTCAGCTCCATTTTGTAACCCTTCCTCCAACGTAACTGCTGTCATGAATTTAGCAAGTATCTCTCTAGTCAATGTTTTTATGCTTTTACATTCAGATAATCATGAGCAGCATATGGTTTGTGTGTTACCAGATTTGTTTCACTGGTAATGGGTTGGACATACGGTTCTTCACATTTTTTTTCACTCAATTTTCACTCTATGTTTTCATATATATAAAGTTAGTTTATTCCTTTTAATTGCCAGAGAGAGTATTACATGAAAATATAAATATCCTATCTGGAATGGATAAATATCTATTGGTAAACATTTAATCCTTTCCAGATTTTCACTATTATAAACAACACTGTAATTAACTTTCTCAAACATGGTTTTTTTCTGGGCCTGTACGAAAGTTTCCTAGGATTGAAGCCAGAGTGGATCAATCGTGTTGTATACACATTGTCAATTTTACTAAACATTTTCAAGTTTCCAGATTTCTCTCCAAACTAATTGTGCTTAGTTGGTGGCAGATTTAGTATTTGATTTAATATTATTAGACTTATTTATTTATTTATTTTAAATGGAAATGGTCTAATTGCTAATTAAGTTTAGGCATGTGTTCTATATGTTGTTCATTTGAGTTTCTTTCTGAATTGTCTGTTCATTTTTGCTTATTTTTCCTTCTTAATTTTGTTTTTATTTTCATCAAAGTTGATACATGCGTAATTTAATAGGCCAAATAATTCTACATGATTTCTTACAAAAACCAGTCCACTCTTGTACACCAGTATCCAGTTTCTCACGTGTCTTGCTCCAGTGGTGACCATTTTCAACTTTTAGCTCTTTCTTTGGCTATTTATCCATGTCTCTGCATACCAAGCTTATAATGATATTACTTCATTTCTCAATTTTTGCATTATCTGTTGAGTTCCCATGATAGAAGGTAAAGTTTGCATGATAGAAGGCAAACATTTGATTCTCCTGCCTCCAGTAAACAAATGTAATTGCCAGGTCCCCTCTCCCTATCTGCCCAATAAGTTTATATCATGATTTATTTATTTGTTTGTTTATTTATTTTTACATTATTCTGTCTGTAGAAATGCTCCCTGGAACAGAAATGCTCTCTGGAACTGATATCTGTATGACACCAGTTACTTTTGTCCTTGCGCAACTTTTTGCTTTCCTTAAGACTAATAATCATCTGGTATATGAATCTCCGTGGTCTGCCATAACAAATGACCACAAACTGGATGGCTTAAAACAACAGAAATTTATTCTCTCACTTCTGGAGGACAGAAGTCTGAAATCATGGTGGTGGGAGGGCCATACTCCCTATGAAGGCTCTAGGAAAGAATCCTTCCTTGCCTCTTCTCTCTTCGGGTGGTTGGCCGTAATCCTTGGCATTTCGTGGCTTGAGGCATTTTTGCCCTGGTCTTCAAGTAGACTTTTTTATTGTATGTCTGTCTGTCTCCAAGCCTCTTTCTTTATAAGAGACACCAGTCATTGGATTTAGGACCCACCTCATTTTAACTTGATTACGTCTGCCAAGATGCTACTTGCAAATAAGACACATGTATGTATATAGGGGCAGGGTGGGGGAGAGTTTAGGATTTCAGCGTATCTTTTTGAGGAATGTGACTTAACCCGCAACACCTAGTAGTAACTATGCTGTCATTTGCATAGGTTTTTCTAATTGATCACCCCCTGTCTGCCCTCTACCCCATCCCAATACATATAAAGATGTTGAGGGGAACCTGGGTGCTCAGTCTGTTGAGTGTCCGACTTCAGCTCAGGTCATGATCTCACAGTTCATGGATTTGAGCCCCACATTGGGCTCTGAGCTGACAGCTTGGAGCCTACTTGGGATTCTCTCTCTCCCTCTCTTTCTGCCCCTGCCCAGTTCGTGAGTGCTCTCTCTCTCTCAAAATAAATAAACACTTTTTTAAAAAAGAAAAGTTTACTGGACTTTGGGAATGACTCAAAATTCTTAAGGACATAACCCTGGGCAAAGTAGCTCTCTTTCCCAAGGGCAATTCCTGGAGAGAGACTTGCCTGTGAGCTGCCAGCAGCCAACAGGTGGCAGCACTGGTGCCTTGGCCCCCAGGGGGAATCTGGGTAGTGCACCACAGTACCCATTATACCATTCTGCCATTTTGAGAGAAATTCAGGCTCCCAACTAGCATATCCTCTCTTCAGTTGAATATATTCTGCTTTTTGGCTTATCTATTGAGATTTTTATTTGGTAAGCATTTTTTTTCTAATATGGGTTTTGTTTTGTTTTGTTTTAAGTAGGCTTCACATCCTGTGCAGAGCCCAACACAGGGCTTGAATTCATGACCCTGAGATCAAGACCTGAGCTAAGATCAAGAATCGGATGCTCAACCGGCTGAGCCACCCAGGCGCCCCTCTAATTTCTTACAATTAATCTTTTGTTTTATGAATGCAGCATCGGTTCTCCTCCCTCTGAGGTTTTCAGTTATACTCTTGTCAAAGTTTCCATGTGTTTGCTGTATAAATTCTAATCTGGTGACCTTTCCTTTGTTCCTTAGCTTGCATGTTACTCTTTCATGGTATTTGCTTACTTTAGATGTGTACTTTCTGGTTGCGTGCCCATCTTTGTAGTTGAGATTGGGTTAGCCTATGCGTGAAGGTGGTATGTGCACCACAGCCAGCCACAGGGATTGTAGAAGAGGGCGCGTTTAGCTGCCAGATAGTGCTATACGGTAGCTTCTCTTTGGAAACTGGAGCTCTCCCCTCCTCCGGAGCTTGGCCCAGCCCAACATTCACACCCAGTGCTCCAGTCTCTGCTCTGGTTGTGGGTTGATGAAATCAGCCACCCTGGTAGTTACTCCAGCATTCCTTCCAATAACTTGCGTCCACAGCCTCTACACGTGGAGTTCTTCTGGAATCCCTCCCAGCTTTCCTTTGACAATCACATGCCTTGTACTCTCTTTGCAAGATAGACGGGACACTGTATCACCTCACTGAATATCCTTTCCATCTTTCTTTTAGTATGCCTTCCTGAAATACTGAGGCCGGAACCTTCAGAACTACATTTTTTAGATTTCCTTGAAGCTCTAGTTTTGGATGTGATTTAGGTCCCACTAATCATTTACAACATAGGAGTTTTAGATTTTATTTATTTATTTTGAGAGAGAGAGATTGAGAGAGAGAGAGAGAGAATGCATGCATGCACTAGTGGGTGAGGGGCAGAGAGAGGGGGAGACAGAAGAACTGAAGCAGGCTCTTTGGACATCGGAGAGTCCAACACGGGGCTCGAACCTATGAACTGTGAGATCATGACCTGGGCCAAAGTCAAGAGCCGGACACTTAACCAACTGGGTTTTAAGCATTGCGTGAGTTTTAGAAGGCACACAGGCAACACGCTGAGGTAGAGGTTGACTTCTGTTGCCTCTGTTATTTCAACTGGCAAGACAGGTTGTAGAGGAGCTTGATTTTCCTGCAATGACTGTGGCAGGGCTCTCAAAGCTCTAGCTTCATAGGTGAGAGGCAGGGCATAGCTTCTTTATTTTGATGCCGTGGATGGTGTCATAGGTGGCCTGGGTCTGGAGCCAACAGCTGCAGCAGCCAAATGCTTCTGGCAGGGCCACAAGCTCAGTTCTATAACGTGGCTTTAAGAGGTATTCCCTGAAGCTCAGCTGAGAGCTGATCTTCTTCAGACCTCCCAATGACTATGATACCCATTAGATATCCTG